GCAGAAGTTTTTTCTCTTCAATTTTATGCCCGGTATTGACGTCAGCTATTGCTCGACGTCCCTAAGCTTTGCAGTCAACTTTTTTAGGAACATGATTCTACTTCGAAGTTTTAAATACATATTACCGGGAAACCTGCGTAGAGAGTGATACGTTACTAGTCCTTAGTAAGATAAATTCAGATATAAGCTGAGAATAACGTTCTTTTTGTCTAACAACCATATTAAATATAATGTCATATAACAAAAATAGTAATAATAATAATTTTTGTCTTCAAATGTCAAACTGTTCAAGTGCGTTTTTCTTCCAACATTACGCTTATTTTACCATCAAGCGTACGAAACTTTTCACAACGCATTTCTCTCATAATATATTCTTAGGCAGCTTAGCTAGCCTTTACCGGTGTCCTTTTCCCAACTATTTTATTAACCTGTTAGCCATTTTCGACGCCAGCCTTCGTAAACTATATATCTAGCTTAGAATTGATAAAAGATGCCCGGAGCAGTCATTGAAGGGCATTGAAACAGCTACGCAAAAGTGTGTGCCGCGTGCCTTATGAGGATCAATATCTCTTCGTAGGGAGAGTCTGAGACTAATGAACAGCCAAGATAAGCATACATAAAATTTATGAATCGGCATTTAGATCTAGATACAATGAATACTTCAAAAGCCAAACAGAGTAATAAGAAAAAGCAAACCTTTACATATGCTTAAAACGATGTTCTGAGATAGAAAGAACGATCACAGTTTCGACGGTATTAATTTGACAGACTAGTAAATCAGGCCATTTTGTTCAAATTAACAGTCTTGTGCTCAAACTGACTTTATATAGCCTGAATTACCTGTCAGATAAGCTAACAAAGTGCCTGAAGCAAATACACCGGTTAGCTACATGCTTTCTTCGACAAAAAAGGAAAACCAAATCTGAATGACCCTAGTCTTCATTTGGTTTCCGTTCCTAATCCAACTCCACACTATTGTTCGACTATGACACAAATATAAATGTCTTATTTTGGAACTTTTCATTGTTTCACATAGGTCATTTCTGTAAAGGCAACAGGTTTTTTATTTTTTAGATACGGCCTGCCAGCCTAATTTTGTCAGCCACATCCTGGGTCCTAGCTCACGAACCCGCTAGCTTAACTCTGGCATTTAGCAGCACATTGAAATCGTGCCTTCAGTCCTTTTAGAATCAGGCATCATTTTGGATTTATTAGCATCGAATTATAATAACACTGGGTAAGAATGGCGACTACTTGGGCTGACACAGACTTTTACCAAAACTGAAAAACCTTTCGGCTCATCTTTAGCGTGTGTTTCACAACCTTAATCGCTTTAACGCCACGACTACGTGTTGTCGAAACACCAACCGTAATCTAATTACGGTCTGTTCGCAGAAAAGAAGAGGGATAATGTTTTCTCTATCTTGATGTACGCGCTCGTTGCTATTACTTCTCTTTGCCGGAAGAACAAGCGTATTTCGTTCTGCTTATGAAAACTAGTGGAGAAAAATGCTCTTACATAGAGTGGAGATGTCGCGTATCTCAGACGTCCTCCTTGGGGCACGCATGGGCCACAGGGCAAACGTAAAAAGACGACGGAAACATGGTTATCTTTGCACAACTGATCCTTACGACACACTATGTCCGCACGTATAATGATCGAATTTTCCTTGAGGTTGCTCTCGTGGTACTTTTAGCCATTCGGCCGCCTAGTCAACTGTATAGCCTCACCCGCTCCTACGCGCTGGTTCGCTTCCTCTAGCGTTCTTCCCATGCTTTGCCAGGTCTCTCGATATACGTTTCCTGATAGTGCGCTGACTAGATTATATTGAATTAATTATATTATTCTTATTGCAGTTAATGCCTTACTATGACCAACAGTCGTTGCTGATCAATGGATTACGAGTCTGTCGATCTACAGCACTGGCGGTGGAATGATCCGTGCGCGTATTTCGCCCTTTCGCGCCCTTCTGATAACCCTGAATATAATCGAGTGATAGATTTATTGAGAAACTGCTCTTACAATGGCGACTTTCATGGTGAAACTGGTATCGATGGCGACCCGTCGTTCGCATCCGGATAATAAATAGACGGCGGGAAGACTCCTACACCGAAGACCCGGACCGCGTCCGAGACGTGAGCCCACCGCAAGCAGAGCCCGCGTCTTCGCTGAAAGGCCACATCCATTAATTTGGCCTTCAATACTCGAGACTGTGTACCGCTGCTATTACGAGCACTACAGGGGTAAAAAACGAGGAGTTAATGTGACCTCAAAGGTTTATTTTCATGATAAACGTATACCTGTGCTTAAAATGGTTCCTACAGAGTCGCTTATTACGATTATTATCGAATAGCACCACAACATAATAGTAATAAGTATGGCATCGACTTATACATTAGTGACTACGAACATTTACATTCAAGTATATACTCCTGTTGTTTTCGCATATGCTTCGTATGACATACATGTATTGGCCATTCCTTTTTTCAACTATTCCTTCGTCTTGTTGCAGTTGAGCCGCCGATCTGCTACTGTTAATCAAGTGCCGTACTCCACTGGTATTGTTCCACATCCGACATAAGTTATAAGCCCCTCAAGAAAGCAATATGGTTTCGCTTTAACGAAATACAAACTTTGACTTTGGATGAAACATGGGAGAAGCCGATTGTTTTGGAGCTATTGTTTGATTTTATACCGATTTGACGAACATAGAATAAGGCGACTGTCACGCTTAGATGGTCAGCCTGGTCTTAGATGGTCAGAATGTTCAAAAAGTGAATTCTGCTTTAATATTATATGAGTTTGTATGAATGTATAGAGAAATTTACCTAACGCCTACGGTGACCAACGACGAGCGGCAGCATTCAAAAACAGACCTAAACAGCAAATAGTAATAAGATATCGCTATGTACGGAGCAGAGTTTCCACGAAACACGTGACGTCTATATCTAAAACTTCGTAGCTCTAGATGTAATCAATACCCATCTTTAAACCAACTAGCATATTCAAATGCTTAATTTTTCATAGCTCTCTGTATATGGATACAGGTACTAACATCGTACGTATTTTACATTTACATAGATGTGAAGCTCGTATGAAGCAAAGATCGTTATTAATAGAATGTTTTTATATTCTTTAGCAAAAAACATTTTCTTAATGATGTTATTTTGTCTTATTCAATTGAATGCATTAGATATTTACTCTCTCAGGAATATAAATACCGAAGCTGAGTTACTGCCTGATGTGTGGTAATGTGCAGCATCATAGCTGTACAACACTGGCTTGCCTTCATTTATAAGCACCCAGACTTTTTAACCTATTTTCGGCACAAAATTCATGCTTGAGTCTACGCAGCGAATTTCACTAAAAACTATCATTTTTTTCATATTTAACCCAAAGCAAACTCGAACCTGCTTAGCCTGATCCCGGCTTCGTAACCCAAATTCCTTCTACATGTTGCACCGCTTAATTATACTATTCTGTTATTCAATTGAATGATTCAGTTTTCTCGATGCTGTTTTCCCGTGAAATATAAAATATCGATATATTTCTCAATCCTTTTCTAAGGAAAGTTCGAATCCAATAACAGGTAATATACATGGTCGATTGTTTTTTTTTTTCGAAAATGTACTCTCTATGTCTTTTTACTCTGCTAACAAAAACGTATATATATATATAACGCGTCCAATGATACGCCAAGACGAACGAAACATTCTCGTATGTGTAGAGGTACGTGTGTAAGCCCAGATCAATTCGTAAGCGGTCCTAACGATTTCTGTGAGTTTCGTGTACAAGCTTGGTTTGTCAAGGAAACAGTAAGAACGAAAAGACATGTGTAGGAATTTTTAATAAAGTTTAAAATAACTAAGCTAAGAATTTGTGAAGTATTTAGGTGTACACGTGGCTTCCTTTTTCTAGCTTTAAAAAGTAGCCACAAACGTGGACTTTGGAAACGAATCAGTTTATTAGTTCCTTTGATGGATTCGAGTACGGTATTTTTACCCGAAAGCGGTTGAGAATTTCGAAAAAAAAAATTGGCGTTTTTATATTTCTTGCTTAGCTTGTGCCTTGAGAGGCCAAACATGGAATTACGTGGAATTTTTAAAGTTAAAGTAGGTTTTAGCTCGAAAGAGCCAAAAAAAAATAAAGCAGTAAAAACTAAGCCAATGTGATTGAATTGTAAAGATTTAGTAATAAGAAACCCAGCAATATGAAGAAACGACCCGGACAACGTGGAGCACATATTTAAACAGTGCTACAGCAGAATTACATCAAGAAAGCCGCAATGTGAACGCACGAAGAACTGCAAAGAGGTAAACAAGGCAATGTAACACGCTGCTATTGTAATTATAACGAGTTGGAGCTGGGAACTTGGCCTCCAGCCAAGCAGATCTAAAGATATTTTAGGCTAGAATGGGAATGGAATAGAATTGGATAACTCTTTGACGTTAAGTTATGATAGAAGTGGATGGACAAAGTTGTAAGCAGAGGTTCGCATTAGTAAAAGGTGCTGTACACCCGTGGTGCCGTCATACAGGTCGGGCGGCACAGCCAGAGGGCACGAATATAGCATAAATAGGCATTGTGACTACTAATGCTTCCGAATAAACTCGTGTATCTTACAGAGAACAATGATTCAGCTATTATGAATTAGTCGTGATCAAAGTATACTTTGTACAAAGTCAATGCACATCGTACTCAGTACTATATATTAGCAGCGTAGCCTGTCTTTATAAAGCGTTTATGAAACCCCTTGTCATAAAAAAGGTTTCCGTCACTTACGCCAAATTCGATCCCTTAGTAATATATATATATATATATATATATATATATATATATATATATATATATATATAAACTACCGCACTGTTTGGAATGAGCTTCCTGAAGTGATCGTTCAGTCAAATAAAATGGCATAGTTGAAGATAAAAATAACAATGATAGATCAACAACGAAACCCTATCAATGTTAAGACGTTTAAAATAAGGAGACTTCGAGCTAACATTAACTGACTCGGTGATATCCATTTTTATTATAATAACTGTTATTATTGATGCAGCCTTTCTTGTTACATTCTAAAATACAGTGCTTTGCCGTCTAAAACAGCAAGTTATTATAATGAATTTTCGGTAATGTACATAGTATATTATATTTTTTGTCAGGACATATATATATATATATATATATATATATATATCTCGCCTTATACAAAGCTGTATATCCGTGTCTCGGTGTGATGCTTGCATATGTACTTATGCTAGCGTGTTTGAATAATTGTTCTCCGTATTTCCTTTTGGGCCTGGCCTCATCATCATGGTACGAACATGCATACAATCTTTGGATTTAACCTTTACTGCTAAATCGGATCTTATGCCGTATTAATACGTCCATCTCCCCTAGATCACTTGCGGCGGCTTTTCGTAGTTACTAACACTTTACTTAACTAAGGCATCTAAGCTTCCCTAGTAAACAACCACCAGGTAATCAAGATCGATAGATATTTCATAATATGCAATACCGTGTCGCATCTTTATATTACCAGATCAGGCTAGTCTAATTTTACTTAGCAAATGATTTTGCTATCAGCTAATTAGCGCCGCTTTAAATATACACATATGTTGCAGGCTTTTAGTGTCTTGCCGACTATTCTGACCATTCCATTGAAAAATTCGTTTTTTTTTTTTGATAAAATCCATTGTACCATCAGGTTGGGGTCCTTTGGAAAACACGAATTTTTTAAGCTTTCCCGAAAATTCGGCAGAAATTTGCCGATGCGTTCAGAAAAGTTTATAGAGGAATAATGATTGCAATCTTGCCAACCATCGCGTAGCAGGACGGTGGAGAGAAAAATACCTAAGAGGATGATGACCTAGATGTTTACATGTTAGGAAAACACAGTAAATCATATCAATGTCCCGAGTGCAGTCCGAGTGACAATGAATATCCCGAGAGCTTCTCGTGGACAGATGAAATTTGTTGAGTTTTCCCCTAGATGTCTGGCGCTCTCATTCCTTCTCAACCTGACACACTAATGATTCATTATGAGAATATTAGTAAGCGCGGTCGCGATAATTATCTAAAATAACGGGTTTCTGCCTTGACTTATTAAGTTCATCGAACTTAGTCACAATGCATTTGTATACACATTTAAACATCTTTAAACTTTCTTTAATAGTTCATTTTATGGTATGTTAGTACAGTTGCTATTGTTATTTCTGCGTTTTCTCGTTTTCTGTGGCGTGTTTCCCCCATTGCTGCTGAATATGGAGCTCGTTTTTCGCAGAGGTCTTTCTACATAACGCCATTGAAATGGCTTGCGCCAATTGCTAATTGGGCTTCGTATGTCGTCTCTTACAATTCAGTCTTTTTATTTACTAGAAGATGCCTTTCTTTATCCTACGGACCAACTACTATTTTGGGCGCACATGTCCATCACGAAAATGTTGTACAAAGCTACTAAATGATAGTATTAATAATGCTGGACCACTAATAATAGTTATAATAGAAAATAATAAACCTTCGTCCAGTAACTTTTACGGTTCATGGATCAACTCAAAAGCTCGTTAAACTATACCGGGTACCAAAGCAGCACTAGCTGTCATGCATAAGGACGCTAGGTGTATATAGTTATAATCTGGACATAGAGACATCATAGGTGTATGCCGCGGCTTATATCTTATCCGCAACAAGGGCTCAATGCCCCTTGGTTAAACCTTCTCACAAAATATATGTGTATATAGGTATGCCTGTCTGTCTATTCATAAATCGATTCCTTGCCAGCAATCAGTTCGTTTCTCATTTGCTAAACACATCAAAGCAGCCACAAGGGTACGGGATGTCTTTACCACCGTTTGTGTTCATCAATGAGCACGTCTTCAAATTGTTTGCATTTCAGATAGTTCAACACAAATAAGTGCAGTGTCTGAGCAGATTTAACCCTCCTGAATGCTCTGTTGCTCCATGTGTAATAGCACTCGAACCGTGTCCAGTGGCACTTGAATGTTGCTATGTGCTGATTGAAGTAGAGCCTGGCCATCTTCCTGCTGCAGCAGTTGCACACCTTCGCCCAATGAGAGTTCCCCGCTTGAAGTGCAAGTACCTAAAACGTGTCCATCGGCAAGCACGATTTGCTTGACCATCTGGCCGTTGGCATCAGGGGACAGCGCAAGTGCTACGGCCGCTTCGCCTTCACCAATGACAGCGGTCACGGTAGCGGTGGTCGTCGCGCCTTCCTCCTGCCCCTGAGCCTCTTCGGTGGTATTCTCATCGCTCTCAAGAATGGCCTGCTCAAGAGCGGCACCCTGCTGTAAAAGTACTTCGTCTTCAGGTTCAGCCTGGAATGAAAGCGCAAAAAATATCCTTTTACTAATATATCCCTCAATATTGACTTAGACAAAATATGGACAATTACGGATAGAAAGAACGATGAAATGCAGGAAACTCTACCGTGCCAATTTTTGTCGTAGCCAATTTTTTGCCTTCTATATCTCATCGGAAATATCTGGGCACTTTACACCTTTGGGCAAACATGACTGCTCAAGTATACACTCAGTTATACTAGTAAATATACTCTTGTAAACATAATAATAGCTTGTTCATGTGAGGTAAGTTTATACAGAACCACGTTATTGGCTGTTCGTATTGCAGTATGAATGAGCAGTATTATTGCATCGAGTGACAAAAACAAAACAAATCCCTGCTCCTAATTCAGAAAAAAATAAGCAAGAAAATGATCGGATTCCCATTTTTTTACAAGCATGTAAACACGTTTTCTTTTACAGGTTTTTAATGCCATTAGGTTGGTAAGGAAGTCTTCCCAGTAAGCCAAATACGATATAAAGAAGCATCTTCATATTCTAACCGATGCAAAGAAGCTTACTTTTAGTTAAAGATCTAAAAGTTTAATCATGTTTTGGTCGGAAGACGGATTTCCGCAAGAGAGAAATATAACCACAGCGGCCCTAAGAATATTAAATAGATTCAGAAAAAATCAGGTAGAACGACACATGTCTCTTTAAAGTTAAAGGTGCAATGGTGCACTGACCGACTGGAATGATACTGTTAAAACAAAAAACGGCGCGACGCGTACTCTTGAATAAACATACATTTGTATCGCGCCCAGCCAGACGAGTACAGTAAATTCTCTACAGGCCCTGTCATTTGTGGCAAGTTATTTTTTGGTATCTTAATTGGAGAGCCTGCAGCAATCGAGACACATACCCCAAAACAATATGAAAAGTGTTGTTACCATCGTACCTAGTAATCAGTTTCCCACCCGCTTTGACCAGAAGTAATGCGCAATGGCTATTATATCGTAGGATTTTAATAGGGTGTGATGAATGATTCAGTGCGATGTTTAGCACTTGTAGGTTGTTCAACTCTAAACGCCGTCTTTACCAACGTCTTTTTTATAAGACTTATAGAGGAGAATATTTACGAGAGGAATTCATCATAATAAACTCTGTTTCCAGGACTTTCTTAGACTATAAATTTATTTGTTACGAAAAGTTAATTAAGATTTCCGAAAATAACAACACTTATGTTGAAAAGTGGGCCAGATGTTTGTATTCTATTTCAATGCCCCCATTATTAGGGTGTTTGTGCTTGTTTTGACTACCACATTAGCCCAACTCAAGAGGTTTAGTTTGTATCATGCATGAAAAACAATATCAGCTAAATGTCCTTTCAAAGAACACACGCATAACCTGATTTTTTTCACTTAAATTTGAGTCTTGGTTCAGCATCGGTATAACCAATCACTTCACGAGGACAGGTTGTTTATTGACTGTGGCGCTATTTTATATGCTCCGTCCTTCACAAGCCCCATAGAAATAGACAAATCAAATTACAGGATCGTAGCGGCCACTCGATAACGCCGTCGCGCAATGAGATCGCCCAGTCTGGAACCATCTTTCCATGAAAATTTATTGTTCCTCGTGCTTTGCAGCAAGTTATGCCATTTCGTTAAAACCAAAGGTGATTTGCATCCAGTAGCTTCATTTTGATACACAGAAAAAGTTGTGTCACAATAGAGCTTGAAGAAAAAGGGTTTAATGGCACTTCCACAACACACCACACAGTGATTCCTTGCAATAAAGTCGTTGTTTAACACTTCCTCAGGTTCTTTGAAGTCTGCATGCAACAATTTTGAATATTCAAATAATCATTCTGTTTGCAATAAACTGCATCAAAGGAGAAGATGTGGTCGAAGAAGTCATTAACACGTGCCTTGCAGCGCAACATCTGGTCGACAAGTAAACGGTACTTGTGAAAATCCTGAATCTGTAATTATTGAATCAAGTGTACCCTGTACGTATAAAAATGCACCCCTTGCTTCATAAGGCATCGCAGAGTACTTCCCATCAGGTTGCTAAATATGATGTCGCGTTCAGGTCGTGCACACTGTTGCGAGCTGCAGCCAATCGTATCGGAGTTATCTGGTTTACTTCTCCTCTAGTTCATGGTTTTCCTGACCCTACTCTATCTGCGAGTAGGCCAATCCCATCGAATTCCTTGATTAATCGCCACCTACGTCAACAAGAAATGCCGTTCGTATTCTCTCCAGCACTTGCGGAGGGTTATTATAATTACTCCCCATTTCTACGAAAAACAAACGCTGTTCCAAACTGTAGCGCTCCACCATAGCAAACTGCAAACTCTTCCGCTTAAGAATCCGTCAGTTCCTGCTTGTTTACAACCGTAGCATAAGAGGTGCAAAATAGAAATCAAACATTTACCCCATCTATAGGGAAACGTATTCTCAGACATATTTCTATAACAAGCCTATCGTCCTTGCAATAGTTTAATGGGTAACTGTTTGCAGGCTAAACTTAGCGACAAATAATGTCTGGATCCGAAGCACTTCCTCTCGCGCTACAAACCAGCCGTAATAATAATGAGCGGAAGCCGTAATGTTTAAGTATCGGACGTAAAATACGAAAAACCTGTATGACAAGCGTATCGAATCTTCTTAAGAAGTTCGTCGCAATGATCAAACTTCGTAAAACATACTGAAGAGACTTTCTTACCAACTTATTAGCATCAAGACTATGGATTCAAACAATCTCATTTCAATATGAATTCTACCTGGGGAGCAAAAAAATTCGGTTCACTGTTAATAACTGAAATAGAAAAAGACCGCCCCACCTCGCTGTCACCCTCCTTGTAGAATGGCGTTTCCTCTGTAGTTGACAAAATTGACTTTATAACTTTTGATAACAGGCACTCTTTTCCCACATTTTCCTCATCAGGTTTGTCCTGTAATGTTCGCATACAACTGTCGTACTTTCATTTTGAAACTGTCACATTATTAGTCGGTAACGTATAATATTGAGATTGACACTGCAGACGTACCCTAACGTAAGTCATAATCGTGATGGCATTCATTGATCTTTATATCCATATTTACGAGCATGTGAAGAATGATGGGATTGGGTTTCGTAACGCGAGTTTGGGAATACAAATATGTTTCAAAACAGTATGTCGCTTACGTTTCCCTTTTGTGAAATTTAACTACAGGAGGAAAGGTATAATGAGATGCCGAATGCTAGCAGGAATAGGAAAGGTATGATCAACATCATATCACAAATGTCCGATGTTCTTACAACATTTCGAGCAGATATAGATGAACCTTGTAACTAGTAAAGACTGACAAACGAATATATGAAAATTAAAAACACGAATTACTGAATCGTGAATGCTTTCCACAATATCCTCAGCCGTGATAAGGCAACACACTCCTAGACGTCGACTTCCAGCGACTTATAAGTACTGTGTCTACATCTCTACTCATGCAATACAAATATGTGTTGTACTTCGCAGATAGTGTCGAAGACTCAAAAGCCGACTATCCAAATCAAGTTCATAAAGGATTTAGTATGTCATCACCGTCGATCAGCATTGGGAACGTAGCTTGGAGGTGATCTCATTTACGCTTATCCGGTGTGTATTTGGAGACTATTGGAACACAACATTTCAAATATCAGGATCAGTTAAGGATAATTTCACTAAGCAACGTGAAAGAAAGTATCGTCATTAAGTATAGAAAAACTCCAACCTATAGTGAACAGTATCATCTACTGTCGAATTCGAATTGGCGTGATGAGCTACGGGTAAGCTAATGCTTTCATCCCGATCCTTGTATTTAATCTTCCCAGGTCACCGCTCATTAGTCGAGACTTTGTCCTTATTTCAAAGTAATTACGAACCTAAATGAAGTCATACTGAATACGGAATTTCTCTCTACTAATGAAGTTTTCATCTGCACTCATTTGCGCGGGAATAAGAACATGCATGGTCCTCCAGGTATCGCCTATTTTTCAGATATTATTTGGTAGATGTGGCACATATGCATGATATATTCACGAACCTTTTGTTCTAGTTGGGATTGCTGCATTATTGTTGATGCGGTAGTGGTACTTGTTATCGTGGTGGCCTGCGATGACGCGGCGGTTGTCGTAGCTTCCTGGCTAGCGGTTTCCATCATTCCTGAAGCGTCCACCTGCTCTGTTTGACCCTCTACAGCGGACTCGGCACCTTCATGAGACTGGACATGCTGCAGTGATACCGGCGTCACAGTTCCGTCCTCATTAATAACAACAGGCTGACCATTTTCATCTTCATATACCTGGCCTACCACCAGACTGACTTCCTCCTAGATTAACAGAAAATAATAATGATATAAAAAACATTATGATAAAAAACTACATGTCTTATTCTTGCAATTGCTTTATCTTTTGTTATTATCATATCGCAAAATGTTAGTTTCTTAAAATCATCACAAAAAAGCTAGACTAAAAACCTCCTTACTAAGCTTTACCTAAAACAAATGATTATCATTAAACCTATCAACAATCTTTTTTTAAACCAGCATTTTTAATGGTTGAAAAACGCAGATTTTTTTCTGGTACCAAACATCGAATTATATACAGATGACCCAATCACTTGGGCCGTCACCGGCCATTTTTAAAAATTTTGTGGTACCAACAGGCTCGCCCTAGATCTGTTAGATTGCGAATCAATGACTGCTTATTACATAGCACAGGGTTGGTTATTACCTCTTCCTCAACTGTTTGTTGGTGCTGTTGCTGTAATTGTTGCTGTTGATGTTGTTGAACAGTAACTTGTGATACAGCGACTTGCTGAACGTGGTGCTGCGAATGTTGTGGCGACTGGTGATGCACCACCTGCACCTGTTGTTGTTGCTGTGCCTGCTGTTGGAGTTGTTGTTGCAAAAGCTGTTGCTGTTGAAGCTGTTGCTGTAACTGCTGTTGTTGCTGCAGCTGCTGTTGTTGCTGCTGCAGTTGTTGTTGTTGCTGTTGCTGCTGCTGCTGCTGTTGCTGCTGTTGCTGGATGTGCTGTGCAGGAGTAACACTCTGCGGAGTGAGCAAAGAAGTACCCCGAACAGACTGAGGGGTAACACGCGTGATACCCCCGCCTCGTGGATTTGTCACGTTGCCGGAATGCTATAGTAGATGAGGTACGACACAGTGAGTCAATTAATTGTTAATGAGTTCGTCAGGTAGCATTAATTATTTTAAATTTTTTGACTTTTCCTTACCGTCCTGTCCATCGAAACCTACGAAGCCAAGTATATGTATGGAATAAAAGATATACGGTGCAACTTACGCGGTGTATATTAAATTAAATAATCTTTAATAAGTCCATACTACTCAGCGGAATAAGAACCAGGCGCGGCCTTGAGCAGAGTTGATTTTACATAGGTCAATATGGCATTTAATAGCACATATTGTGGTGCATCATATACTGTACTACTGTCTAAGGCCAAAAGCAAACGCGGATATTTACATACTAAATATAGTGAAAAGAAAGTTATATTATTACAAGGTCATACCCGAAGTAGACTAGTGCCAGGTTGTGATCTGTTTACATGGGACGCACCACGGGGGGCGGCCGTTACTACTCGAAATTGTGGCTTTGGTGAACTCAGAATGTTCGGTGTCATTCTGCTCGGGGTCATGGTTACTGCCGATTGCGGTTGAGGAATGTAGCTCTTCACGTTACCTGTACGTCTCACAATTGACGGCGGTGCCATAATTCCCATATGAGACATCGACATTTTTGACACAGCTACTGCACAGAAAAAGAAAAATCAAATACGAAGTTTGAAAACCAGGCTAATTGTACAGGAATTGAATGCCCACTGATGCCCAGCGCATTAGTTTTAGTTTAAAGAAGTATGGGATACTTCTTCCAATAATCTATACATGTGCTTAAGATGTGAGATTCCTAGCGTCTACATCGCTCAAAAAGGCTAGAGTTAGCCTCTTTTCTAAGAAGCACCCTTTGAGTTATAACAAATGCCGAGCTAGAGCCATGCAATAAGTAAACACTGGACCCAAATCATAAAACATGTGCAGACCGAATTCATCATGCCCAATATTGTTACACAACATTGCAACACTAACCAGGTGTTGGTCGGTGATTAATGATAATGTTTGGCTGCACAATACTTCGTGGAGTGGTCTTGTGAAGTGGCGAGGCCGCATGGCTGATTATGGGCCGGCTCAGTCCAGAACCGCCAGCACCTGAGACGTTTCCTGGCACCGATGATGATGCGGGCACCCGAATTGGCGCGCGATGCCGTGCACTTGGTGCCGGCCGGTAGATTGGATGCGCTTTGACAAGGAAGTCTGTTTCAGGCAAATATGCTTCTCGGTCAATTCTGTACATACCTAAATTTTTGTTGCCTAACGCAGCTGCGACCATCTCGTCAACAAGTTCAACTAAATCGTCGCCCTGTAAAATCATCATTCAGACGAAAAAAAACATGATAAAAGGCGTTTCCAATGCATAGCAATTTATTCACAAAAAAAACCTCAAATACGATAGGTTACAAAATAAAACAGCTTAAGAATTAGATCAACTAACAAACCAAGGTCAAGGTGTCAATTATGATACTTAAGAGCTACAAAAATACTATTAGCAAACGCACCATATCTATGTAGATATAACAACTTCTTCTTGCAATATGAACTTTATTTTTATAGGCGTAGGCTATTTATAGTGAAAATCTTCTGGTATATGGCTATGTATTAGACTTTTGGTTAGAAATGGGTTACAGTTATATTGCACTGTGTTAATAGATAAAACAAACCTCAGTATCATTTGTCGGCGTCATGAACTCTCTGCCAAGTCGATCAGTCTGCTGGAGGAGGGTTTCAAGGTTCACAAGCATCATTGACACATCAGGCACCGGTGGGTCACCGTCCTCGCTTTTAGCGAGCAAAAATTGCCACATCGTTGCCGTTTGGGCAACGCGATAAAGGCAAACGTCTAGAACTTCTTTATCAGTACATTGCCGAAGTGCTTCTCGAAGACGATTTTTTCGGCGAGTTGATACCATGTCGGCATAGCTCCGCCTTTTATTGATTAATCGCAATCAAAAACGCAGAGCAGAAATATACAATTAGTAGGTCGTGGACTACAATTATAATAACTGAGCTACTTAGGTTAAGTATCGGGTTGCATATTGTTTGTTTCTGCCCATAGATACACTTGCCGGTAAAAAATATCTAAAGAGTTTTGGCAAATCGATTTGTTGTTTGATAAAATCTATATGTAAAACTTCTTGCCGGAGCACCTAGTAGCAAATCATAGTTATTTTAAGGAAACTTACGGCTGTGTTTTACGTCTCTCCTTCTCCTCACGTTCTTTTCGTGCGGCTTCAGCTAGTTGTTCCTGATGCCGTTGACTCTCAATATCTTCGCCATCATCATCGCTTTGAACAATCTCCTCAACGTTCATTGGCGGTGGCAAATTATCTGGATCTCCGTGCTGCGTTAGGCGGAAGTGCTTTCGCAACCGTAATTCGGAAATGTAAGCGCGATCGCACTGGGAACAACGGTAAGCTTTGAGTTTTCCAGTCAAACTCAGATCGGTTCCCACTGAAATACAGCATATACAAAATGGAAAAACAAGCTATATTTAAAGGAAAACAGGGCCGGTTGAGATAAAGAATTCTTTCGTTTCTTCATCTTAGGCACCCTGGTGAGCCGCACTGCAATTTACATCAAATCATCATATATTTACATCAATACATACCACTGCTATATCACATTGACATTTACCACTAATATATACTAAAGAAAAAATGTAAGGATAAGTTTAGTAAGCACCAACAAAGCAGACAAAGAAAGTATCACGGCCAGCCTCTGCAGCACTTTTGTTCCTGAAGCAGTGTCCTGTATACATCACCTATAATGGTGATCTAAATCTGCAGTTTAGAAAGCAACTCCGTTACTCCAGCAACACTCAAGTATACTCACATTTCTAATAATTATTATATTAGGAGCTACAGGAATCTTTCCATAAAATAAGATGTGGCGTAGACACAATGGAACACCAGCACAGTGTCTGCTTAATGCATAAGTTGTATTGAACAAAATGATTCTTGGTTAATCATGTCAGTTAGACATTAAGATAATGTCTTTTATAATGTATATAGCAGATCACAATGAAAAACAGATTTAGTGGAAACGCCGGAATTATTAAGGGTAAATTCTAAACCAATCAACTTTCAAATGATTTTGCTTACACTGTGCCTCTCTTACCGACAAGCTTCCGGCGTTTTCTTTTAATACCATCTTCTCCAACTTCGACACCTTCGATATCTGAATAGCCGCCGTCACTCTCATCCGGCGGTGGCTCTTCGTGGAAGTCAAGATGATGAATCCTTTTATAGTCGCGAACCATGTATTTTGGCGGTCGACTAATACGACCCGATCGTGTCCGAGGTACTTGCTTCTTCAAAGCCTCTCGCTCTTCTTTCGTTAACGACGGGCCCTCCGGATTAATGTCATCGTCGTATCTGTACGAGTAAGAATAGGATTTCTTTTAACATCATGGAACGATGATCTTTAGATAGAAACACGTTATAAACATATGTAATATTGCTTCCAAAAACCAAGTAATTGTTAATAGAACAATGTTTCGTATAAAGTACTTCTCTATATGTGAAAGGCGTACTTTTTGGCAGGTCGTCCGCGACCCTTGTAGCCTTTGGGATGAACTTTAGGCAATTTCGTTGCCTTCGGTGCCCGCGCCGCTGCGGCCCCGACGGGCTTTATGCCTTCCTTTTTGTCTTTCCGCTCAGGGTAAATCACTCTATAGATTATTCTGGTATTCGTCTGCGGATTGTATACGACAGCACTCCCACCTGTCTGAATTGCCTTGGCCACTTGCTGCTGTTGTAGGACATGAGCGATCTGCTGCAGCTGATCTGGACTGAGAGTCTGGGTTGAGTGATATGAATTGCCTTGCTGGATAATCTGTAGAACATTAATTAAATTGGAATCTCGTTACGCAAATGAATACGAATAATATATATATATATATATTATTCTTATACATTATTATATATATATAGCCCAAAAATAAAACATTTTCAAGCAGGTTACTTTCGTTCCAAGTAACTCTCTATCAATGCCCAGAGTTTAAAAGGAAATTAATATTCCTAGACGTATTTTTTTAATAATGAAACTTGTTTTCTAAGGTATCGCGAGGAGAGTTTGCCCTTCTTCAGTAAAAACAGCCGACATGCGCATATTTTTAGAATGCAGAATTATTAGTCTCAGAAGCGAGGTTCATTGAGAGATTCAAACATTCATTATAATGCACTTATTTTTTGTGTGTTTGATAGCCGCTGACAAGTCCATAAAAATAAATAATGCCAGAAGCAAGTGTGGCTAATTTTTTCGTAAGAGAAAATGAATACATAGAGCAATTGGTATAAAAGTAGGCAGACCACGGCCAGGCCTCATGAGACCCATAAACATACGGTCAACTTTATTAAACACTACTTTCAGAAAAGTGTAATGATTAAGCCATAATATCCGATATCAATAAATGGCTCTTAATCTTAGAGTCTGCTTCGTCGGTTTCGACTCGTTTGATCTCGCTTTGCTCTAGCGGCCGTTTATAATTTCCAAATTTTTTTTAGACAGCTACGTATACATTGCATAAACGTCGAATTCCCGAAGCGACAAACTTACTTTTGTCGAATCTATTCAACTTTCAATGTCTTTTCCCTCTATACATGTATCTCTAAATTTAAAATAGCTAAAACAGACCATTTAATATTATGTATCATTCATTACGCACGTCACAGAAATTATTGCATACGCCTGAGTTTCATAAGGTTAAGTCGAATTAATTGTGGTCAAAACAATATATCATCAGAACGATTTACATGTATATAATAAAACTCGAAATAAAATTAGTGAACAGATGCATGTTCTGAAGCCACATAGAACGAAATATTTCATAATATTTTTTTGCCCATTTACGAACGTCTCTGACAGAACCTCTCAGCGTATTTACAGGCTACAACGAAAATATAGCAGAACACAAAGTTCTGACAGCAACTTGAGTTGAAGTCGTTCCGTTGTTGAAGTGACGCCGCATTTAGTTCGATAGTCATTGTGCTGGAATCTGCACTGGGACGAAATCAATTTGTGGAATTAGAATCGCTCGTTATGAATTCGCGCTACTGTTTCTCATATCTACTAGACTATGTAGTAATACTGGCCTATATGGCAAGCAAAAAGACTCCCTTCATTGACCTGCTTGTCAGTTTACCTGAATTGGGTTATCGCAGCTGCCCAGTGGAGGCAAATTTTCCTGTTGTTCCTGTTTGGTAACTACTGTCCCTGTATCAGTGGGTCCTGGTGCAGCCCCAAGAGCAACTGCCGGCGCCGTACTTCCTGCCCCGGTTCCACCCGTGGATGGGAACGCCTCGCTGCTTGCGGCTCCTTCGTGGGTGTCAGGTTCCCCATCATGAACCTGTGCTACCGCCTGCTCAACCAGCTCGCCTGGTGTGAGTTCTGGCTCGGCATTGTTTGCCGCTTCTCCTCCAGCTCCGGATTCCTCAAAGGCTTGCTGTAATATGTCCTGTTGAGCCCCCGAGGCCGCTAAAGCTACAGCCTGCGAAGCAACAGTAGCAGACTGCGCTGTTGATGCTGCTACTGTACCATCATTTTGTTGTGTCGCTGCAGCAATATCCCCGCCGGTGGCCGCGTCCATCAGCTGCTGGTCGGCGGCCGCCTGGTAAAGTTGATCCTCGCTCACCGGCTGGGTGATCATCACCGAATCGTCCACGGCTTTATTGATTAAGGTGACAAAACACATTTAGTCGGCAGCAAAGAAGAGGTCGGACTCAAAGTATTGTTTGAAATAAAAGCAAAACAAAAATATGTACATGTGCTCCAAAAACACCACACGTATACAGCAACCCAGTACTTCAGCCAGCATTCCAGCACCGCTGAGCCCCAATATCACCTCAGTACCCCAAACATACCCCCTAAAAACATCGTTAGGAAACAACGCGGAAGCGTTTAAAGGACAGCGCGCGTCTCAGTTCATTTTTTCAACGTTCCACAAGCAATCCCCAACAGATGATGCCAGTGATCAGCTTCTGCTGACAATAATAGACTTTTCTACTATTCCACGATTGGTGCGGATATCATTCCGTACAGTCTACGACTGATAACGATGTGTCGCCAGTAAGTGTATCAGACAAGGTATGTGAGAATTTTGTGGCCCACCTAAACGGATGATGTATAACTATGTTATATTACATATTTCTCTTGAGTGCGCTTGTGGAGTAAATGTGGTTGCACTTTGTTACATAAACCAAGGCTCAAAACCCTGAGGAAGTTGCCTGCCGATGTTTAACTCAGTTTGTATCCTGCCTCACTCTTCTGCTGCCCGATGCGTATATTTCTCATAGTTTCAGTTCATACCGCTAGGTTGATTTCTTAATAGTGCTAGTGATTCCCAAAGCATAGCGCGCATCGGTTAGCACTTGACGTATGTGAAATCAGTTCATCGGAACGGTTTTAATTTTTGTGAAGTCTACAAAGTGTTTTATCTCGCGAGAGTTTTTAAGAAAAAAAGGTAATTTCGATGCACAAAAGTAACAAAGGTAAAGGAAATCTTTGTAGTCATTTTAGGCGAAGAAATTGGCCTAGATGCTTTTGGATTATTAGTTTAGCCGGTACTATAAGGTATGGTATATTGTTCGTATTGTCTTAATGCGATATGGCTAGCCAATATGTAATTTTAACTCATTGCTTTTGTCCTCCGCTTCTTACTCAATAATATTTTAACGATACAATATCTTGAATTCTACAAACCTTGTTCGTCCTGCTGTTGTGATTGCTGCTGCTGATCTTGCTCCTGCTGCTGTTGGACTGCTGCCTGATGTTCGGCGATCAGTCTTTCAGCTTCCGCACCAGTGGCAATCACTCTACCCTCTTCATCGACAGCCACTATAGGCGACTCATCTTCAACCTGTTGGACTACCCGTCCTTCGTCGCCTTCTTCAACCTGGACATGTGGAACGTGACCCTCTTCGACACCCTCCATAGACTCTGCTTCATGCTATACCGAAAATATTGACGAATTTCTTTATCTGGTCTTTTTCTAATGACTGCTTAGCATCCTGAAACAATTGTATGGTGCTCTAAACGGTTTGAGGGAGCTAACTTGTTTAATATTATCCTAGATCAACAATTTCAAGTAATTTCAATTTCTACTATTTGTACGTCCGATTTATAACTTTGAGTTGTACCTATATGATTCTCAACATAACAGCCCGTGTTGTTTTTTAAACAATTTAAAGCTCGCACAAAAATAAGGAAAAAAACCAACTTGCGATTATATGAACTCGGCGAAAACTGAATTTTATCACTTATTATGTTTATCAGCGGGTGATAAATTTATGCTACTGTTCTGACCAAATATAAGAATCATCCACTAATTGCGCCAAATCAATTTTATAATTCTATGACAGGAAATCATATGACTAATAGTCCGGGTAGAATGGTTGAACAGACTTTTAAGCAACACCACACAAATGCAATTTGTGCCTGCTATTTCTTTGTCAATCATGCTTCTTTAAGGTTTCGAAGTATGGATACAGTCGACACAACTAGGCTGGGTACATCATAGTTAATAAGCTCGTACCAAAAAATAATTACATCCAATCGTACCTTCAATAACTGCTCATTAAATAAGAGAAGTTTTTATTGATAGCCACCATAAAACCTACCTCTGCAGTGCCATGTTCAGATTCAAGAATCTCCTGCGGCTGTATCGAATCGCCTTCTGTAGCACCAGCAGCTTCATTAGTTCCATCGCTCACAGTTTCTGTGTCCATGTCATGTCCTGTTGTATCTTGATTACCTGAAATATTCCACAGCAACGCCTGTTTCTAAACATTCTGATTGAAGTGCATTGTCTATTTACCAGCAGATGCTATTTTAGTATGAACCTTAAGCGTTAGCACAGAAAGGTGGTCTAGAAAGCAGAAAAAAAGTTCGGTACAAAACTATGAATAAATTCCTTTTCTGACCTACGACTAACGTAGCACGAAATCTATGTATAGTAATTTCCTATCTACGTTTAAACTGCACGTCTAAATCCGGGAACTTGGTGCTGCATCATACTGTAAATCAGGTCTATTTTTCCCAAGTAAACTTCCCTTACGGTAAGCAAACAGCAGCCTGACCGTACAGTTCCTCTCTCAGTATTGAAGTGGCCCCTAGAAGTGATATGTGCTAGAAATAAAATTTATTTGCATACAGATGAGCTTAACACTACACCTACCATGAATAGTCAATATGGCCCTTTTTCAGCACTATAGAATTGTCGAAGAAAAAATATGTCGATGTGTTTAGTGTTTATCTAAATAGTGGAATGTGTTGGAATGGGATTTTATTTATATGAAAAGTATTTGCAAATAAACCAACTGTAACCTATTTGTTATGGCTAGATAGTGCCGTGATGTTAATGAGTTTCACAAAAATAAGTCAACAGTATACCCAGACATTCGTTTTGCCCTGACAAAGAATATAAAAATAATTTCTGTTTATATATACAAATGGCATATACGAAAATGTAAAATAAAAATGGCAATAGTGAGGGTGATATCTGAATCAATGAGCTTTGTTCAACTTGCGTTCACGGCTTCCAAAAAACCACCTGATCGGCAAGTTCGTATAGGAAATGAATTGATTTCTTTCCTAATACTTAGCCGTAGACATTTTTTTCTTGCCTGCTATTGCAAGATCTGATTAACGAGAGACAAAACCAATCCATTGGCAATCGTTTGCCAAGAACAGCTCCGTGAGAAAATATACCAAGTACACCAAATACAATTTTATATTTATATCAAATTGCTATTATTACATGGTAGAATAGAGTTATATCAGGTTTTCTGCCGTTATTCTATGACGTCGATCGCACGTCAGTGTAAAGAACATCTGCATAATGATTTTGATGAGCAAGCGCGCCAATTTTGTGAATACTTCTGATAACACCTGAATCTTGCTCGACTTTCACTAATAGAAATTTGAACTTCGTGTTAAAATTGCACACAGAATTAAGAAACAGCTTAATTACCAGTCTCTCCATTTATATGATATAATATATTGACCTTTCGACGTCCTTTAACCAGAGGTAACAAATTTAACATAACAAAGGATTAATTAATACAGTCTCTGTAGGTACTCTTTCGCCACTGATGTCCAAGAACTACGTCATCGCTTTGAGCTCCCAGCGACGGAAGCCTGTAAGACAAACTATAGAAACTGGAAGCGAAAACTCGTGGCGATTGAAAAGGAATTATTTGCTTCAGGTGCGGTGAGGAACAATGAGTGAAGAGGGACAAACCGATTAAATAGAGACCTTCTTATTCGCTTTTCGTGCATGAGTTCCACTATAGGCTCTGCAGGAAACCAGGCTTCCATGAGCCTGGCAATATATGTAAATGCTTCAGATGTAGAGAAAATTACAATAGAAATCATGTTGCTCGTTTCCCACTAGTATCGTGTTTAGGATACAAGTTAGTTTTAAAAATTCAACAAAACTTATATAATAATTCATATGGTCCAAGGTGTTCGAAATAATTCTATAAAATCTCCCTTATCTTTGAATACTCTGTCGTTGATCCGTATATATATAGTTTTCATTAATACTACCAGCAGAAGTAAATAAATACAATTTGGTTATTGTTATATAAGATGTAAGGAAATAAACATCTGCACATTATTTATCGATTTTTTAGCACTGTAAAAATGTAGAAACCAAGTGCAAGTATCTTTTTATTTGAGCTCGAATTATAAACCAGAATGTAATTAAAACCTCAAGTCACAAAATTGTAGCTCATAACCTTGTAATGAATAGCACATTTTGGATTCTCGACTTATACATTAAATTCTTCGAAGCATTAAATATATATTACATCATTACACTGGCTAAGATAACCAGGTAGAAAACTGAGGTTGAACTGAAATAGGCAGGATATGCACTTTATGCAGTAGCCACCCGACTGCAGAGAAACCCTGCGCCTAAGGAGGATTGTATCGCAGTCAGAACAAATCGCATCAGTATATTGTGATTTATTGAAGCCTATCTACAATATATTAGATACATTGACGGATTGAATTGACTGTTAATAAAATACGTCAGTAGGATGGTCAGCAGTTAAATAGCTGCCGATGGTTCTGAACATTCGAAATGTGCTTGTTATATATATGTGGGATAGCTATTAGCCATTCTTTGCGGACCGAAATTTAAAAATAGCTCATGGCGTTTCGCTTCTGTATCTATCTCTAAGCCAAGGGCCGATGTTCTGTTATATCCATAACGCATTTTGCATAACAAACAACCATTTGTATCGAATAAATGATTTTATTTAAGCGGTATTACACAAGAGTATATGCAGCTTTAGTAGTTTAACATTGTTTTTAGTAAGTTATTCGTTATAATATTATAAACCCGTATTAGATAATATATCTGCAGCATGTTATTACATGCACCCCGAGACACTCCTAAACAGTGTATCGGCTTAAACATGGGAAAACGGCATTCATATGAACAGAAAATCAAGTTCTTTTACCAGTGAGGCCGGTGGACTTCGAAACTTAATAACTTTTAAGGCTTCAATGAAGGCTTTTTAGTATATGTTAAAGGTACTCTTTTTTATACTTTACACACTTGTCCCGTATCTCTGGCAGTTTCTCGGCATTCATATACCAACCATTCGCATTCCGATATGTAACCTCTCTATCCATGGCTTCTCGTAGTAAATCGATAGTGGAATACGTTTACCAACCAGTTGCATTTTTGTGTCCTAAGTATGAAAAGCCCCATAATCACATGGACCTAGAATGGAAGATTTAAGTGGGTTGAAGTCAGCGTTGGATGTTCCTTTGCTCAATCCAGGAAGTAATCAAGGCAGAGCAATGGAGTCTGACATTGTCACCAAATCATAGGACGACGTACTTTCGATTGCCGCACAAACGATCTATCATATATTGAGTAACTTGAGATAGTGGACTGAATTCATTGTTTCTTTTTCGGCGTATATTTCACAGTATCATATGCCCCTGATTTTCACTGCAAGTATTACCATTAACTTACGTCTAAATTTGTACGACGTTGCCACCGAACTCGAGTTCCCTTCAAAGCGATCCTATGTCTTCAAACAGATTTTTTATTATTAAGTTCCAAAAACAGCAGGTGGAATACACCACTGGCATTTTCAACTAACCTCAGATAAACTCACGAAAAACCCGTCCTTCATTCCGCATTTTCACTATTTGGATTACGATTCTGCAACATATTACATGTGAAATGCCAATTTGAGGCGACGGGGCTTTTCGACTCCGAGCTCTGTTTTCATAAAGCCTACTCGATTGTGGCACTGTCTTCGTGTCCATCGGGTCCCATCATCTGGTCACTTTCTCCTTGATCTTTAAGGCCCGAATCTTCGTTTTTGAAACAATTGCACAATTTATCTGCTGTGCTTTCGCTCAAGATCTTTTTGCCTTCTGTCTTTTCCAATAATCGATTGATTTCGGCAGCGCTATGCCCTTCAAGTAATAAGAACTTCACTACTACTAAACATCAATTTTCGAGACTGAAAGTATTTGTCATTCTAAACTAATTTTTCCTGTAGTACACCCAACTGGTTTCTAAAAGTCTCGTCACAAGTTTTTAGAAAGGTCGATGTATTCACCACCTAAATTTCGTCTGTTAGCGGGACTTAAGGCGAGTCGTTTAATTTCAAAGTCCGCCTTATAACCTTGTAACAATACCTACATATATTTATTATTTAGGTAGCTTCACTCGAGCTGATTACCTTTAATGATTCATCGGTTTGTGCTACGCCGCAGTCGTTCAGTATAACAAGTAAAGATCCTTAAACCATACATATAACTCCTTAGACTTATAATGGTAAAGGAAAAGCGCCACATGTTACTTAATACCAAATAATTTATTTCCGCTCAAGTTAAAAATGTTAGCTTTTTTTTAAGTCACTATTTCCATGTTGCACAAAATCTGTGAAGTTATAGAAATACTTACGGCTTCAATTAGTTAAGAATTGCGTGATCAAAGTATATGAATATATGTTATAACGATTTCGTGCCGTTGGAACGCATAGGTAAAAATAAAGGCACCTATCACGGCTTAGGCTGTAATTTCTACATATTTACCCTTATATGAGTACGTGTCTACCTTATTATTGAAGAAGTGCATTAAAATAAACACACTGTTTAATAACTAGTAAAACGATTATTATACTGTCTTCCATCGGTAATCAAACGTTAAAATATTTTGTCATTGTTATGCATTATGTTCACATAGATACATGTACCAAGGAATCCCATAAACAGCTAATATAAAAACCATTTTTGCCATATTAATTGCCATGAATGCTAAAATGTGATTTCATGAGTAATCCTTTTAACTAACTTTAAATCGTACAATATTTTTCCCATTAAGTCTAATCTTGCTAGTAAAAATATGTATACCCAAAAAAAATGTGTGAAAGTATTTCTGTAGCTATTTTTTTATGTTCAACTCTGGTATTATAGTCATAAAAATATTGAGCTCTTCAGATTAATTTTCACAGCATATTTCTATAACCAAGTAAAAACGCATACGAGCTGACATTCTTCAAATTTTGTCTAAAAGTTACATAAACCTATTTATTAACTAATTTATAAATGTTTGATAAATTTACCACCCAGAAGAGTAGGGTAAATGGTGGTTTGTTGCTTTGGTTTTTTTTTGCTCTTCAATTTGCATCGAACAATGCCCGCCAGGTAATTTTTTTCGACATGTTTCATGAAGTCTTCGACTTCATACAAAACACCATTGTTCCTGCCAGGGTGGATTAGTAAGATTGGTTGTTGGCGTTCAAGAAACCATAACACATAACACATAAGAATCTCTAGAATACGGCGTAGTACGTTTGAGCTTTTCAAATCCAAACAGTTGTAACATAATTGCGTATCTTTTGCACGCTAGGCAACATCAAAAAGTTACCGACAAGATGTCGAAACGAATTGGCAGCCGCACTCGTTTAGCGTGCCGATATTGCGATGTTGTAAGGGGTGTCTATTAACTCCGTGTTATTCGAGACTTACTAGCAACAGCTGCTGACTGTACGCTGACTAGATTCGAACGCGGACAATATCAGCTCTCTGCCGGCGGAGCCCAAGCCCGCCCAGAGTTTGAACAGGATTTTTTGTAAAAATTGTCAAACCAACATCTACGGTAGCAAATTTTAGCTGTAGCAATATTCCCGGAGGTCGACATTAATGTTAAAATTAGTGATTCGCTGCCACAGCATCGAGTTATTCAGGAAAATTCATAAAAATATGACTCGCCTAGCGGAGCCTAATGCTGTGCCAACAACGTTTCCAATTCAGTATCGAAATTGGAAACGATTTGGGTCGAAATACCTGCCAGCGATTAGATGTCACTCCCACAATATCTACTGGTATACTACTAACCTGAATTCTGGGCCATTTTACACAAAATTTCACAATTTTTCACAATTTTAGGCAGCACGTAAACACAACAAGTCGAGCGACCGCAGCGCCGTCGTCACTTAAAGACCTCCTAGTGACCGCCAGCAACGCAGATGTTTGAATGTGCGTTCGGCGCGGGAAAGTTTAACATTGCAACTGGTCCCGAAGTACATTGTTCCGTATAGACTAAAGGTGTCGCTTCTGTTAAGTCATACGACGTTGTGTGCTAAATTCAAGAACAGGCCAAGTCGAATGTTTATCGCTCGGTCTGATCTAATTGTCTGGCTAATATTACGTATTAGAATCTGGGGCCCAATGTCAACATTTAGGGAATGCTAGGCTAAAGTAACATAATGTGAATTGCCTTCTTCCTAAAGCCTGCTCCGCACGCGGTGCTCATAATTCAGTTATAGATAGGTAAGGTAGTAGACTTCCCTGCCTGCTTGGTCTATCTGTAAATTTTCTTTTAAGATAACGCTATAATTATAAAGTTAGATGAAGCCAGTATCCATTAAAATGTAACCTACTTATCCAGAGAAAACCTGACTATCAAAAGGCCTTGGCAAAATATATATATTGGCATTGAGTGGGGGGGCGGGACAAGAAAATACTGAAATAGGTATCGCATATACATTTGTGGCTAATAAGTAAAATGTGTAACTTTCGAAAACAACGACACAAAAACGATAAAGCTGATTGTACCGTGAACTATTTAACGAATGATCCTTAAACCAAGCTAGTTGAATCACAACACAAGTTTCCTCAATTGGTAAGCTTTTCATCTTATTCCTATAAAAAGGTATCAAACTCTTTTATTCCCAACCATTCCCAGGATTCGCTGCGAATATGCGCGCCCAAAGAATGTATTGTTTCGCTGTTTTTTAAGACCGCGAAGAACTTGAGTGCGAGAAAGCACCACGAAACTAATGTACACTAATAAAGAGTAATATAACCATATAAATGATTTTTCAGGCTCTTCAAGTAAATGCCTTTTAAAATCTTACCGCTTTACTTATTAACATCAAAATTATAACCAAAACATTATATTAGATAATTTCTTTCATATATTTTCACTTCTCGAAAACTAATTGATTTAGGAATATATAGTGGCCGACAACAGCAACAATAGAGGTACAGCTGCTGTCTCATGTCAATATTTAAAATGACACCTTTTAACCCTAACAAATGAGAGCAACATCAAATTAACGCATTAGCGTTGTTCTTGAAACGCAAATGCTCTTCGCTGTGTGTTCTTTCTTGTGTGATTTTCAATTCTACTTTTTAAGCCCGCTATCGTCGAGTCGATCTTAAATTCAATCAGTTGAATCCGTTTAACAGATGATTGGCTATGAGATGTTAAATGATTTCTTTGAGGGAGTCCTTTCTATTAAGCAAGGATGACTTTTTGTTTTTAATAGGACGATTTTCTTTTGACTGACAACACCAAATTGTGGTGAACATTAGTCAATTCCGGATTCATGTTGATGGCGTTGGCAATCGGACCTGCCCACGTATTAACGTCAGCAGCTGCAGGGCCTGGCGCAAAGATATAGTCAAGTTTTTCGCGCGCTAAGGGCTACCCAGTGCGAAAGCGAGATCGTGATGCGTCGGCAATTACCCATCGGCGTTGACTGATACAATCGTGAGTTGCCGATCAACTGTTTACATTATTATTCGATTCGGTTGGGTGCCAAGGGGTCTTCTTGCTTGAAGTGGTGGGCTCGAACTATCTCTATATACAGGGAATTTAGCATTTGCTAAAGTTTAGGTGTGAATTTTAGCATACTTCACAGTCAGCAAAATGGCACTTGACTCAATGAAGGACGGTGATGTGATCACGGATGAAGTCTTGCGGTATTCTGTCGATGAGTTAGTTAGCCGAACCCGGTTGCTAGAGACCGAAGTGAAGATTATGAAAAGTGAAACAATGCGAATTTCGCATGAGCTTCAAGCTCAAAAAGAGAAGATTAAGGAGAATACAGAAAAAATTAAGGTAAAATGGCGATGCTCCACGAGCTTGTTATGTGGAAGCAAAACTTTATTAGATAATATAGGTATAGTTTATAAAAGGAATAAGCTACACGATTTTTTATTTCCTGACAGGAAATAAGCTCTTCATTTATATGAGTAGGTCGGTAACATGCAGTTATTACCAACTGATCTGCGAGTAAATTTTTTACCACGTCATTAATATAACCTCACATAGTGATTGGAAAAATTGCTTAAGCTCACGCGAGGTGGATGATATGATGTAGATGGCCTAGAAAACGATGGAGACGATGTTATTTGGTCAGTGTTGTTCTGGGTAAATGTAAACCCTAATATAACTCAAAAGATGCATAGTTTTAACCTGCTAAAGTAACTTGTTTGGTAAATATACTGTCACAGTGCATTCAAAATCAGATAACATTTTTATAGCGTTGTATAATATATTGTATATAATAGGTAGATGACGGTGTCATTTTCCAAGACATCGTTTGTCTCATATGTAATGTAGTCTAGCATGGAATAATGATGTTCACAGTACTAAATGTACTGTCCGCGCGAGGCAACTGCGATAATGAAAATATTTAAGGTGGAAGCTTCAACAAGTTGAAATCAGATAAATAGCGCAGGCCGTTCTTATGAAAGTTTGAAATAAGATAGTAGAGCCCAATTGCTGGTAACTAGTCAAGCTAGTAACATAGTCTTTATCCATTTACTAGATTCAAATGCTCACTCGCTTGGTGTTTGTATTGGTGTGGACTCTCCGGGCACAAAGATTGCAATGTTTTTTTTTAGTTCGACACTGTTTAATTCAAGTTATTGGGTTCATTAAAAAGAAACATTTACGGCTTCAAATGATTGTGTGTGACTAGTTAATTTTAAGTAATGCTGATATCTCCAAATTATTAATTTTTCTTTTTCGTAATATGGTGATGGTATGCTTTAAATTAATATGACACGCCGATAAAACACGCCGTTAAGTCCTTTAGTTGCTGATATCCTTATCGCAAGATTTGCGAATTTAATATGATTATTATTATTTATTTACCCTTTAACTTCTAGGCTTACCTTAATTGTGGCTTAGTATACGTGTTAATTCCTTAAGTAAAAACATGCGTGATAGGAGAAATATGCCAATTTACGCATTGCAGGTTAACAAGACGCTTCCGTATCTTGTGTCAAATGTGATTGAGCTCTTGAATGTCGACCCGAATGAGCTCGGTGAAGAAGATGGCGCCAACGTCGATCTGGACTCACAGCGTAAAGGTAAATGTGCTGTCATCAAGACTTCGACCCGACAGACGTATTTTTTACCGGTAATTGGTTTGGTCGATGCCGAGAAGCTCAAGCCTGGCGACCTTGTGGGTGTCAACAAAGATTCCTACCTCATTCTTGAGACTTTGCCGGCCGAGTATGATTCACGTGTTAAGGCCATGGAGGTAGATGAAAGGCCGACAGAACAGTACTCGGACATAGGCGGGTTGGACAAACAGATTCAAGAGCTAATCGAGGCTTGCGTTTTACCCATGACACACAAGGACAAGTTCCAATCACTAGGAATCTCCCCGCCAAAAGGAGTACTTCTGTATGGACCGCCTGGAACAGGTAAGACGTTACTCGCAAGAGCGTGTGCGGCACAGACAAAGTCGACATTTCTTAAGTTGGCCGGACCCCAGCTCGTGCAGATGTTTATCGGTGATGGTGCTAAGCTCGTTCGGGACGCGTTTGCACTAGCCAAGGAAAAGGCACCGGCGATCATCTTCATTGATGAATTGGACGCGATTGGTACAAAACGATTTGATTCGGAGAAGGCGGGTGACCGTGAAGTACAAAGGACCATGCTTGAGCTACTGAATCAACTCGATGGTTTTAGTTCGTGCGATGACATTAAAGTTATTGCAGCCACCAACCGGTACGTGGAAGGTGCAACACCTTTTCTATGTAGTAATACTTAACACTCATATTTCAAATCAACATAAAACTAACTTGTCCTGTCTATTTACATGAGATCGGTATGTATTCTTCATTCCTGTATGCTGATGGTTGTGGCCTTCAATAATAATTTCCGAGTGTGCAGTGGCTACCAGTTACGCTTTAGTTATGATAAGACCATTAGAAGCACGACATGAGCAACGTACATATTGGGTAGAGCGATACACTTTTCCTCGAAGAGCTTCCTAGGTTCATCAAAGTAGTACCAAGTGCTTTGTGTTGAGCTTGGCATAAACGAAATACTTTTCAGTAAGCGTTTTGTTGGACGTATTTTTCAGTGTGGATATTCTTGACCCTGCCCTGCTAAGATCAGGCCGTCTCGACCGAAAGATTGAATTCCCCCATCCAAATGAGGAGGCTCGAGCACGAATTATGCAGATTCATTCACGAAAAATGAATGTTGAAAAGGATGTACATTACTTGGTATGTGTTCGGTTTATGGTAAATCTACGGCAAGGTTCGGAATTATATTAGCAACTTTCGAATTCTGTAGAAATTGTTCGATGCGCAGTAGTGGGGAAAGCAATTTGTACAGAAAACACTCAAAAGCATGGTATGGTGGAGTTAAATTTTAAACTGTAATAGTTGTTTAAAAAGACTGCATGAATTATTCGCATATTCTTTATTCGAATGGGTGACTTGAATGGGCTAAGAATATAATGGACGGTTAAATAATCACGCGTGATTACTAAGCTCGTTGGAGTGGCACATATGGTATTCAGCGTCTAAGCTAGTCGATCTGATTTGTTTTACTGCGCTTCTTTATCGCTTCTTAGTGCAGGTTGCGATAGTTTTTCATGGCGATGCTTCTCGGCTTGTGCAAATATTTGAGAACAGTTTTAGCATTACCTTTTTTATTTAGCTTAGTTTGTCATTCGTAACTGACACAATCATTTTTTTGATTTTGCTTCTTTTAATCCTTCTCAGGAGCTGGCTCGCTGTACGGACGATTTCAACGGAGCACAATGTAAGGCCGTATGTGTCGAAGCAGGTATGATCGCATTGCGTCGTAATGCGACCAAGGTTACTCATGAAGACTATATGGATGCCATTCTTGAAGTACAGGCAAAGAAGAAGGCTAATCTCAACTATTATGCTTAAGACTTACAACTGCAGATATATATATATATATAACGACAAATTGAAAAGGTCAAGACATACATAGCAGGTGGCGGATTTGGCAACGGGTGTTGATTAGAAAAAAGCGTAAAGGGCATGACTAATGAATGTCTGCTACAGAGAAATATAAAAATAATAAATGATTTTATGCTACGATGCACCGCCGTGTTATCTCTATTTTACTTATACAAAAGAAGGAAATATTTTCTCGCTTTTCGGTGTAATCATAAGGAAACATGTGATAGGTAAGAAAAAAAAATAGGAAAAGAAATATATTCGCTGATTAACCAAATGAGCGACACACTTGTTTGGTAAACATTATAAAGTATTGAGAAAATGGACTAAGGATCATAACGAGATATTTTGGTGTAACGCTGAAAAATGTTATACGATAAATGACACAATTGACACTAATAGAGCCTGTTTTATGGGGATTATGTAGGTTGCTTTGCTATTAAAAACAGGTAATCGATATTAAATTCTAGAGCTTCTGTCTTACTTGACCATTGGTAATATGTGTGAATTTAATTGGTAAAAAGGGCTCAGTGTTTTTCAGCTATTTCTACCTAACATAATGGTCTTCTGTCCTAAAGTCTCAACGCTAGGTGAAGAAAAAACAGTGACATCAACGTAAGACAGAATTCCTTTTCATTTATTACTTTGTTATTTCTATTTGTGCTTGGTATCATAATTATTATCCGTTATATTTAATCTATGTTGCTGTATTATTTTCCTTTCCAAACGCAATCATCGGGCATCACGATCTATGTCTGTCTATTGATGAAGACTTGGGGTATTGTTAGAAAGGCCCAGCTAAGCCTCTTAGCGGTTATATCGACTCTTAAAAGCGTTTTCTATCGCGTGTCATATATTGGCTGATTTTTACCATCTATTAACCCTTCTATTTCCTTTCGTTTGTTGGCTACATTACGAATCAAACCGAGGTCCTATATCTATAGTTCCTGTACTTACATTGCAGCTAGATATGGGGAGTATGCTTGTACGTTTCTTATTCATGCTGCAATTTGACTTCTTATCAATTCTTTCTGTTTCCATTTCTTTGTTCCAATCGTCTCGATTTTCGGAATTTCATTCTTAATAAGATATCGAAATTATAAATATGGAAATTCTATACCTATGCATATAGTTATAGTAGAAAACGCGTTTTCTCGGCTATATATTTATAAAATCAACCGCTCTTATTACGATGACTATAAATT